TTTCAGACCTGTAGGTCCTCCGATATGGGAAAGCTTTTTTTTTTTTTTTTTAAGGCAGGTGCACTAAAATGAACTAAAAGTCATCCTGCTCTAGAATGAAAAGAAACCTACTTTACTGGGATGCAGCGTTGCTGTGCTCTTTTCACAGCTGCTACTTTCCACTGCAGAGGTAGCACTAAGTAGCAGCTACTTAATGTTTCACAGCAATTAAAATATTTATAAATTATTTGTAAGTTAATACTGTATGAGTATGCATGCATATATGGAAAACATACATAAATGTGTAGAGAAACACGGAACATTTAAATTTGTCAGTCTAAGACAGGGCTGGGCAAAATAAGACCCAGGAGCCAGATCTGGCCCACCAAGCCACCAGATCTGGCCCACGGACCACCCTGCCAGGACCCTCAGCTGCTGCAGTTTAACACACAGTCCCTGCAGCTCTCTGCTCTGCAGGGAGAGGGAGGCTTTGTGCAATCCTCCCCACCCCCACCCCCAGCTCCTATTGGCTGGAAACAACTGGCCAATCGGAGCTGAGAGACTGGCCAGGTGCAAGCTTAGAGTCGGGGGGGGGGAGCAGCCTGCATTTTCAAGCAGGCTGGTGCTGCAGCAGGCAGGGAGCCCCGCCTGCTTTGGGGGTGTTGCAACCTGCTAACCAGGAGACACTTACGTAAACTCCCCCAGACAATGCCTGCCTCTGGCATCCCAACCCCTCCTGTACCCCAACTCCCTCACCCAGATCACTAACCAAATTCTCTGCACCCTCTGCTCCAGGTGACAACTCCTTCCCAGACCCTGTACCCTTCCTACACCCCTCCCCCAGGCCAGAATACTCCCCTGCACCCACACTCCCTCCCTAAGCCTACTCAGACCCCACACAGTCTCCTGCATCCCAGTCCTTTACCCAGTGCACCCTTCTGCACCCAACCTCCAACCTAGACACTGCACCCCCTCCTCAGAGAAGTGCGGCCCTTGACCACTTTCCAAAACCTTGGAGTGGCCCCCCACCAAAAATTATTGCTCCCTCCTCCCCCCGGTCTAAGAGATTTCTAGATTGACAATGGTTCATCCAAGGCACAGTGCCGGCAACGTTTGTATTCTTTTCTGCCAATGCATTGCTGCCCAAGCTTGGAATACCTCTAATATTACAGTACAGGGAGCCTTAAAAATTAATTATTTGTCACTCCAAATTCTATAACACTGACTACTACCGAGACCAAAAAGATTCTCTATCTACATTTTAAGCCAGGACCTTCAGCAATTAAAAGCCAGGGCCTCCACACCCACACAACAGCTGTTCTGAATACACAGTCTTAAGCTATGACACAAAGTTAGAGAGCCCCAAAGTTTATCTCTTTGAAGGCTCCCTGCTGTTACTGCACTCATGATCAAATATTAGTAAATTCCAAGTCCTGCCTGTTAAGAGCAAAACTATTATGGTAACTGATACCTCAAACGCATGAGATCTGCTGTTCGGAAATAAATACTAAGTGCCAACTTCTGCAGAGGCAACGCAAAGAGAAACACCTTAAAACCTCAAAAAATTTACTAATTATTTTTCAGGCATTTCACCCCTCTTTAGAGGAGAATAAATCACCCAACAGATCCACTCAATCACCAATGTAAGCAATTTATACCCATTTCAGCTGCTTCTACAATAATTATGTTTAACACTCCACTGACACAAAACATTTGTGTCAGTGGACACAAATGGACACTAGACAAGATTTCCATCATTCATCTCCATGGTTTTCTTTTGGAATATGTATATGTTTTGCTCCAGCAGTGTTACGATAATCCACTGATGATTTTACAGAGAAGCAGGACACAAATAGTGAAGCCCATAAATTAGTTCTTTTCTATAAGAAAACCAAGGATTAATACCATTTCTGGTGAAAGAGAAAATTGCAATTACTCGTGGCATTGAGCATTCAAAAATTCTTTACTCTCAACATAGTGTGTTATTGAAAATGATGGCTGCAATTAGAGACAGTTACCTGTCCCATAACTGGTGTTCTTCAAAATGTGTTGCTCACATCCATTCTTCATTAGAGAGCTCTTTGGAATGGCCCCATCATGGCTTAGTATAAGGAGTACCACTCACTCCCTCTCCTCAGTTCCTTCCTACCAGAACTAACAGTGGGGAAGGAGGGCAGGTCATGGAACGGACATGAGCAACAAATCTTGAAGAACTCCAGTTACAAAACAAGTAACCGTCTTTTCTTCAAGTGATTTCTCATATCTATTCCACATTAGGCAACTTCAGGCAGCACCCTTGCAGGCAGGTAGGAGTTCAAAGCTGTGAAGATTGTTATACAGCTTTGCCGAAATCAGCCTCATGGTATAATGAGACAACATGTGAACTGAGGACCACATCATGGCTCTACAGATGTCCTGAATATGATGAGAGGAGTGGACGGGACATTTTATACCATGCCATGAGGGCAGCACTCCCCTACGGATAATGTAACAGGGGCGGCCCGTGAGCATAGGCAGACTCAGCAGTTGCCTTGGGTGCCGCCTGCCCGGGGCGCCCAATGATGACATCATGGGGCGCCCAGGTGCTCAATGATTTTGTTGCGGCCATTGACGGCCGCGCCAGCTGCGGCAGCCGGCCTCAGGCTGCTCCTGCATCATAATCACACACACCTCATGTGGAATGGACGTGAATCATCACTTAAAAAATAATAAAAAGCTTCCATGTGGAATTTCATAGTCTGAAAATCTAACTGATATCATCATAGATAAATTCCTATTGGTATTGAACGTGGAAAAAAATGAGTCCCTGAAAACATTTAAGTAAATTCTTCCAGTGATTAAATTACTCTCTCAGGGGAAAAATATGACATTACAGGAGGCTCTGGACTTGCAACCACCCGAGTTCTGACCCCCACACTTACAACCATTTTTATAAGTGTGGAAGGGGCACGGCACCTATCGTATATTCAGGTTCGAGTTATGATGCCCCCGACTTGCGACGCATCCCTAGAACCAAACACATCGCAAGTTGGGGGCCTCCTGTACTGTTGGTAATTAATTGGTAATAAGTAAATGTTAACTGCTAATATTGTGCCTTCCACTGAAGGATCTCTATAAAGGCTGGCATGCATTCCATTTTTTTTAAAAAATCTGCAAATGTGAAGACATTAAGGGATGTGTCTAATGTCAAAAAACACGACAATGGCAGAGTTGGTGCTAGTTTTCTGGTCTCCAGATTGGTTGTTATAGCCACGGTTGCTATCAATACGGCTTCCCTGAACACTGGCTATAAGGCTGGCAATAGTAACATTTAAGTGACATTCTAGTAACAAGTGACACAAAAGGAAAAAGTAGTCAGGAGCCACTACTGGTTCATGTGCACTTGCAACCCTTTCACTTTGCTTGATGTTCATTCACACCATGCTGGCATGCCATTTCAAGACATCTAAATTATATTAAAGCTACTCAAGGAGGTTAACTTTTCAAAATTGCAACCTATTTGGAGCAGGGACTGTGTAACCATCTTTGTACAGTGCACAGTGAAATTAAGGATGTAACACCCTGATTAATCATTAGGTTGATCTAACATTTAACTAAGTGGGACCCCAGGTGGGAAAACATTCCAGCCCATGAGGGACCGGGTGGGGACTGGAACAGCCCTTCGCCTGCAGCAGGCTCCTACCAGGGACCTGGTTAACCATTACCCAGTAAGCATCACTTGGTAAGGGTGATGCTTTATCAGGTAACTGGTTATCCATTCATATCCTTAAGTGAAACAGCAAACGGATTTTACCAGGTTAACTTAAAAATTATTTATGCTGCTAGCTAGGTAGTGGCAAACTCCAGGCATTCATGCCAAGACTGGTTTTTGATGTTTATCCCATTAGCAAGCTTGCAAGTCAGCAAAAGGACAGCTGACCTGATGCCGACACGACTACTGCAGTCTCTCTCAAACTTCCTCAACTGTATCCAAGATATCTCAGGGACCAGAACCGAGAAACACTGGTGTAATGCATGTCAGTCTGCCCTCACTGAGAGGCAATGAATTTAGAATGAAGATACAGTGAAGAGGGTTGTGAAAAAGCACTATGGGTAGGAGCAACAGCAAAGAATAAAGCCTTGTCCACAAGGGGAATTTGACTGGCACTGCTTTTGTGGAATTAGGTATTTTACAACAGTTATTTGAGAAAAGCTTTGTATGGACCCTGTTCAGGAATAATCGCTCTGCTTACAAACTACATTAATTATTCCTAAATAAAATCTGCTATTCCAGAAAAGAGCATCCACAGGTGGAGCTATTCTGAATACTTATCACAGAATAACTTATTTCCGATAGTTCTGCCAGTCACTTTCATCATCTAGACGCAGCCTAAGAATTTAGGTTAGGCACCTGACATTTAGATAAGCATTTCTCAAAAGTGGCTGCACCCTGGAGCTGTGATTGGAGAAAGGGCTTTGGTAGGTAGTAGGGGTGGAGCAGCAGCCACACACTGTTGCTCCTGCATGTGCTACCTTGGTATTGGGTGCGGAGGCTGCCAGCAAAGGTAGGGACCTGACTTTGGAGACATCTGGGGTACAACACTGGTGGAGGAAGCAGACTATGTTCCCGCCTTCCCACGCCAGTGAGGCTCAGGATGGAGGTGGCAGGATGAGAGGCATCATCCACAGAGCTTTGGGCTCTATCCCTCATCCTCACCCTCAGGGTCAAGGCTTTACGCTCCAGTGCTCACTGCATACCAACCCCCACTTCACTCCCAGTGTTTCATTTAAATGCAAAGTGTGTTTTGTTTAAGAATGGGCACGAATTCAAGTCCTAACCAAAATTTGGGATGTGTAGGAGGCATGAATCCAAGAGGTTTAGCTTGTGTTTTAGCCCCTTTCTCCAATGACCTCCTTGGGAGAGCACACACCCTCCCCGCTAAAACCAACAGGGTACAAATTCACATGCACAGTGCTATACACTGCAGCTGAGAAATGCTCAACTACAGTCCATGTTAGCACTTTTTAAGGGTTCTTTTTACCTCCAGGCCTGTAGACAACATCATCCTCTGTGATGAAGGACGTTATTTCACCACTGTCAGTTCTCTCATAACGAGATTTCTTCTTCGGAGGCTTCTTTTTATTTTTCTTGGTGGACTCCTCTGTGGTGGCACTGTTGTCATTGTCCTCATCTTCACTGTGGTCACTTTCAGCGTAATTCTTGGCACCTCCTTCCAAAGTACAGCTCCGACGAGGACGGGAGTTTTCGCTTTCTCTCACTTTTTCTCTCTTGTCTCGCTCCCTGTCCCGATCCCTGTCCCTATCCTTTTCTTTGTCTTTGTCCTTTTCTTTGTCAGCTGTCATGATTCGCCACGTGCCTTCTTCTGTCCTCTCACGGCTGGGCCTCCGTGAAAGGTAGACAGTAAGCCTGGGCTTCAGTCTTCTGAATTTCTCACTCAATTCCAGGAAAAATTCGACCACTCCAACAACCCCAGCGTTTTAAAGAAGCTCTTGAAAGGAAAAAAAAAAAAAAAGAAACAAGCATTAACACCCAAATCACTGAATCAAAAAGGAACCTACACAAATATTTCAGTTTGCATAAATAAAACTGTAAAATACATGAAGGTCCTTAAAGCAGCTGTTTGATAAGTGAAACTCCAGCTTTGATAAGTGAAATTCCAGCTTGCAGATAGTTTACACAGCAGCTTTCAGCTCAAAAGATGCTCAAAGCTCCTTACAAACTAGGCACAAAGATAACTTAACCTACCACTGAAATATAGCTACCTTTGGAATAGAGCATGGTAAGCATTGGAGCACACAGAGTTTTAAATCAGAAACTGATTAAGTCCAAATGGAACTGTATGAATTAAGAAGGGAAAATGTAATTACCAGTATTTGAATCTGACCAAGACTCAAGATTTCCAACCTACAGTCCAATAAGTCATGAGGAATATTTAACAAAAGGTCATGATTTCCATTTTACAACTCAATCGAATAATGGTACCTTCAGCAACACAATATGCAAGAGAGCTGACAAATATTCACTCAACCACACTTCTTACCCTTACTGCAGCTCCCAACCATATTAGCTTGCAAGAGCCAACAGTCTCCCAATAAGGTGGCAATGTACGCAAAGTTGCTCTTGCTTGCCCCACCAAAAAAATCTTTTCACCATAATCACATTTATCGTGTCATTTCCATTATTGTAAGCAGCACCTGGATAGAGACTGCACATTTAGCTTTTTTAAAAAGTGCATTGGGCAAGTGCCACTTGTTACAACAGTATTAACAAGTAAATAGTATGTCCTAGGCTCATGAGAGCCAGGATTCTCCAACTGGAAATCAACCCTGGACAGTGAGTGCATAGAGCCAATGTCACCAGTTATATCTTTCCCCCAGAAGAAATCCCTTACTCCTCCCTAAAACCCCCATACCACACCATCACCTAATTCCCAGTCAATTGAATGGCTGTAAGAACAGCACTATAGTTACTCATGTTCTCTCTGCTCAGAACCAAGAAATAATGTACCAATAAATGCCTTTTCTACCACTCAAGTCCAACAATCTGGACTGACAGATTGTGCGCTACGTATTTGAGTGACAGCCAATAGCACAAACAACAGCGTTAGAATTTTTGGCACCTTCTCTTCTGGAAAGACTAACAGAATCTGCACCAAATGAGGCATCCACAAGCATTTTTTTTTTAAATTGCTCAATAGAAGGAACCTGAACTACAGCCACTGTTATGGCTCTGTCATACCATTTTCCTGAAATATATACCAATTCCAATATTCCCAAGGAGTAGATCTAAGTCAGACAAGTTAAAAGAGAAGAAACTCTGTATTCCCTAGTTTGTCAATTCAGGGGTTTGGGACCGAACCCATCTGATTTAGATATAAGATAGTCAAGAAAATTAAGATGTTAACACTGTGTTAAGAACTCTGAGCAATTGCTGCACCTCAAACAAAAGTTACTCAGTCTAAAAAAGCCTGGAAAGCTGTGCAAAAAGGCTTACAGAGGCAACTACACTGCTGCCTCATATTCTCTTCAATAGAGGCTTTTGCTATTCAGTTTTCCCAGGACAGGAAACATCTTCAATTATCTTAACTTTAGGCATTGTTAAGGTAAGTTTCAAAGAGGTGTAACACTGAGATTCTGAAATACACATTTCCTATCATCAGACTCTAAAACATGATTCAATTCCACTCTAAGTATAAAAGTGCTCCAAGTCAGAGATCCTCAAAAATCAACCCGCACTTGCTTGCCAATAGCACCTCATTGAAAAAAATTACTAACTTCAAAGATTTCCCAACGTATGAGAAAACTAGAAGAAACTCCTGCCAAAAATGAAAGTCTATAAAAGGCCAACTTAGCCCTTGTGAATCAAGGTGAAGGGGAAAGTACCAGAGAGCTGCAATACTACCTTATCCCGCCCTTATGGCAGAAACTGTCGCTATTAGAAAAATATTTTGTTGATAAAAAGGGGTAGTGTGAAATCAAAGCCAATGAAACAATTGCTGGAAGGCTGTCACCGTAACAAGAAATAAAAGCTTCAAGTTAAGTAATTTATGAGGGTGAGGCTACACCAATCAAATGGAAAAAGTACCACCACAGGTTGAACCTCTGTGGTCCAGGTCACTCTGGTCGGGCAACATCCATGGTCCAGAAGGACCACAGATGTTGCTGGACCAGAGAACCTCTGGACCAGATAACCAGTGGAAGGAAGGGAGCCAGAAGCCCAGTGTTGCAGGGCTGGCTGCAGAGTAGTGACCTGGGGCAGCAAAGCCACAGCAGCCTTGGGTTTATGGAACACCAGCAGCCGAGCAGCGGAGCCCTAGCAGCCCAGAAACTCTGGCAACCCTGACAGCCCCAGGACAGAGGAGCCCCGAAGGACCAGACCGCCCCCAGGACAGCAGAGTGACCACTGGCCCCAGGACAGCAAAGCCCTGGGGGCAGTGGAGTCCCAAAAGCCCCAGAGTGCTCCCCCACTTCCCAGGAGCAGAGATCAGGAGGTCTGGAGCCCCAGCAGTCCATAGCCACTAAGCCCCAGCAGCCCCTGCAGCCATGAAATAGCAGGGGAGCTAGACCAGTCAGCAGCAGAGCTGTGTGGGGAGCCCAGTGGCATCTACTGATGGACCAGGCAAGAGCCCTGGACTCATCAGCTGAGTGGCTGGAGTTGACCTCCCCTGGTCCAGAAAAATCGCTCATCTGGGACCGGTCAGCTCCTGAGCAGGGTGAACCAGGGCGCTCCAACCTGCATTATAAAACAATGGATTTCACGGAGAACAATGTCATTTCCTTAAAGAAGGTAAAAAAAACTTAATTCCTTAGTGGTAATCCTTCAAAGTCCCTCAAGATTACAGTACACTGTCAACAACTTCTCCAAATGACCCATTTCTTCCATATTTAACTTCATAAAAGACATAAAAGATATGCCAGAAGTCAAGGCAAGCCCCCATTATTTGAAATCACAAGTAAACAGCTTTTCGGAGGACCTCTGAACTGCTTCTGGTCAACCAACTATTCACGTGGAACCAAAACTGGGGCAATGTATTCCTATTCACCATGGATATCAAAGTGTTATGGCCAAGATGTCTGGATGGTTCTCAGAGATACAGAACTTCTCCCAATTAGGTTGTCCAATTCAAATCCAGACAAGGATGTTACCAACCAAGAATTTACCTCATGGTTTTCTGGTGACATAATAAAATAGCAAGGTTAAAAGATGGCACTAAAGATACCCAAGGCTTCCCTACTCAAGAGCTTTCCGCCATTGGTATCACTTACCAAGCTGTGACAGAGGTGATCAGTTTTCCTTGTGCATATATGGCCTTTCATGCCTGTCTGTAATGAAAGGAGACTGACCAACTGAGATGGACAACTGATAGTTTCTAAGATAGTATACTACCAGATGATTCAGCTGTAGCTTTAAATTATTCCAGATTGAAATGTGGCACATACTACTAACCACAAGCATGAAACCAGGAGCCTCAGAAGATGCAATGCTCCTTACATTAAGCTTCTGAAACTCCTTAATCATAAGGAAAAGACACTGATTTTTAAAAGGATAGGAGAAATAGAAAACTAGTTAACGCATCTGAAATACCTCCCCTAAATCTTACATTAATCTCTTTAAACTGGCTACCATCAATTCTTGATGACAACTCCTTTCACTACTAAAACTATCCAGACACAAAATTGCTTATGCTGGCATGATTCAGGCTGGAGCTTGAATCTGAGGGTATGTCTAGACTGTAGACTTCTTGCGCAAGAAGGTTTTTGCGAAAGAGATCTTCTGCAAAAACTTTTTGTGCAAGAGTGCATCCACACTGCAAAAGCACATTGGAAAAGCTATGCACTTTTGCACAAGAAAACGTCCAGACTGCATGGACACTCTCGCAAGAAATCTCTGATCAACATTAACAGAATGGCCACCAGGACACCTGTGCTTCTTTCAATAGGCTGTTTTTTGCACAAAAAAACCCTGTTTCCCATCCAGACACACCTTTTTGCACAAGAGCTTTTGCACAAAAAGGAGTTATTCCTCGTAGAAAGAGTTATACCTATACTGCAAAAACCCTTCTGTTCTGTTGATTCACTGTAAATTTTCTTGCGCAAAAACACACTTGAGGTGTGGACGCTCTGCGAGTTCTTGCGCAAAAAACTCTGCAGTGTACATATAGCCTGAGATATTTTCTGAATGAGCCAATTATCTAGGTAAGAAATTATTCCAATGCCTTTACTTTTTAAGGTAGCTACCATAATTCTACCAACACATAAGGTGATCAGATGCAAGTCCAGAGAAAAGAACATGAAGATGTCAATTGACCACAGAAATCAAGAGATACCAGTGATGACAAGGGTTCCACAGAGGCATGCAGATACATTTCCTATATGCTAGAGAGCCTGGATAATTCCCCTGGGTTAACTGTTAAAGTCAACTCTTTCTTGATTTCACATAAGGTTTAGACTTGAACCTCTTTAATCCGGCAACCCTAGGAAACAGGGTTAGCCAGATTAAACGTTTTGCCAGGCCAGGAAATGAATCTAAGGGCTATGCTCAGGACACTGTACCTGGTGCTCCACGTTCCCCCACTGTTCCTCACATAGAATGCGTCGCTGCATGGCCATTCCCCACTCAAGCTGGGGGGAAGAGTAGCGGCAGCAAGCAGAGCCACTTGCACATCAGCTTGCCAGATATTCTCAAATTGCTGACATCTGTACTACTGAGGTTATAGTGTATTTTGAGCAAACCAATTTATCCATTTGAAGTCTAAACCTGGCCAGTTCTCCAGGGCATCTCAGAAACTGTAAATACTAGGGATGTAAAATCCCATTTAATTGGTTAACTAGTTAAACAGTGTTGGAGATTGGGCAGGGAAGGGGGGGGGAAGGAGGTTCTGCTGGCAGCCCCGCATGAGGGCCTGGTGAGGCTGTAGCAGCCCAGCACCTGCGGTATACCATAGGAAGGGGGCTGCTTCCTGGTACCAGTTAACCATTACCCAGTAAG